AGTTCACCGGCCCAGACTTAGGTAGACAGCAGCCACATCTCAGACAGGGCCAGCAAGCCTGGGCTTCCCTGTCAAAACAAGAGGAGGTTTTGCATTTTTTTTTGGTGGGTATGGGATATGCTCATGGAGAAAAGGCCAGGGAAGGACTACACAGTTGTCCTGAAACATGTCTACTGAGATGAAAGCATCCTACACCTCATCTCTTCAGGGGTTTCACCCTAAACCTCTCTGGAGGACATACCTCTGCTTAGTGATGGACACATTGGCAAGGTCTGGTCTTAGCATGGGCTGGTTTAAACTGCCAATGGGTTTTACAGACACTTTCTGTCTAGTGGAGGGTGTCCCTGCCCATGGCAGGGGGGGTTGGAACTAGATGATCTTTGAGGTCCTTTCCAACCCAAACCATTCTATGATTCCATGATTCCCCCCATAAAGCAAAAGAGATCTGTTTTCTGCAACACTCACGAGATATATTTTTCCGACTTGTTGAACTTCTTCTCCAGGTACTTGGCTGAAGTCTTGCTGGGGATCTTGACCATGGAGAGCTCTTTGTTGTACCTGGTCAGGTTACAGGGTGTCCTGCAGATGCAGTAATTGCTGTCCTTTTCAGCAAGTAAACCTGGAGAAGGTCACAGAGTTAGATCTCATGGAGTCAGGAACACACAGCAAACGTGGGAGCAGAGGTCATGCCACCCACAGAGGGGCCAAGCAGTCAGATCTCAGAAGAGCTGCAGGTAATCCAGTCCCAGTCATTTATCTCCCACTTCATTGCACAGCCATCCCTACCATCTTGGAGAGAGGCCTTTTGCTGGACGCCACGCTCAGGGGACACGTGGTGATTGCAGTTCATTCCATGCTGGTAACATGCCACCCCTTCCTCCCATGTGTCTGATCCTGCAAACAGCACTCAGCCCTGGGAGTCTCCTAAATCCAGACCTAGCACGGGTCCCTCCCTCCCAAACCCAGACCCAGAGGTGCTCCCCTCCTATGTATCCTGGGGTCCCTGTTATCCTGAGGGTTTCTGCACTGACAGAGCCCCATGGTCCCAGAAGAAACTTTTTCCCAAGGTGCACCTAGGTCTTTGCAACAAGTTGGGTCTCATCAAAATCCATCACCATGTTGCAGCTGCTCTAGATCACCCCAGTCCAGCCAGTCAGGAGGATGCAGGCTGCTGGAGGTCTCTCCAGCTTGGGACACCCGTGGTACCCAGGGGTATCTCCTGGTACTCACCGAGCGCAGGCTCTGCACATTCCTTATACTGCTCCGGGGTACAGAAGGGAGCATCTCCTGCATGGAAAGGACACATCCATCAGTGGGCATCAGCTACGATTGCTACAAGGGAGTTGGTGACTGCTGGGCTCTCCACGGGGACCGCAAGGACCTCCCTTTAACAAAGTGCACCCCGGCTGGGGATGTGCAGTAGAGGTATTGCGGCGTCTACCCCACCTCTGCCTGCCACAGGGGCCTTTTCTTACAAACTGAGGAGGGGGCTGCTGGAAATAGCACCCAGGGGTGTTAATTGGGGCTAAAAAGAGGGAAATCAGACCCATGTCCCTCTGCCACATTTTGCTCCTATTTCAGGGCATTTTGCAAAAGCTATTAGCATCTTTCTTTACTTAGGGAAAGGTATTCCCAGCTCCTTTAATCCCTGGTCCCTTTCCAGCTCATTAACCCTTAATGACTCCGGCTGGGTGGTGGGAGGGGGTCCCTGCATCCCCCAGCACACTTACCTGGCATGTGAACCATCTTGCAGTTGCAGTTTTCCACAATATACCGGGTCTCGCAGTCGATCCTGCAAGCCGTGATACTGTAAACGGGAAAGAAGTCTAAGCCCATATCCGACGAGCGACATTCACCCCACGGCGGAGGCAGGTACGTCAGCTGCAAGAGAGGGAGGAGCGGGATGTCAGGGGATGCTGGGGGTCGGCAGCGAGGAGTGGAGCACAGCATCTCCCTCCTCTTGCCACAGAGGAGCCCCCAGAGCACGGTTTCAATGATGTTTTTAAGGAGGGGACCAAGCAGTGCTGTTGCAAGGAAAGGTCACAGCATGATTTTTGCCAAGTGAGAGCCTTCAGCAAGGTCTTCTGCTCCACAGCTGCTCTCCTGCGTTCCTCCAGCCCAGCATCTCCAGGAGCAGAGCTACAGCAGGATGGTGCACTGGAGACGCGCAGCACCACAGGTTCTCTAAGACCAGCTCTGTGGTCTTTCTTGCACTATCAGGAAAATCCTGACCACGCAGGGAATGAAGGGGAGGGTCCGACCTGCAAATCATCTCTGACTTTGGTGAGAGCAAACATGTGGTCGTTGGCACTGGTACGTCGACAGCTCCCATCTCTCTGCTTACTCTCATCTCCAGGCTGTGCTACTACGTGCCGCTCATGGGGACAATGCAGACAGCACTGGTGACATCGAGGAGCAGAAAGGGATGGCAGTGAGATCCCGGCAATGGCTGTGAACTCTCTGGTGTGAGCAAAGCTGCCACATTTGCACCGTTCTCCTCTTCAGGCAGTTCTCTCATTGATAAAAAATCAGCAGATCGCAACCCTCAGAGAGGGCCAGGGACTTGGGAAGCACATGGAAAGGACCAAGAACAGTTCAGCAACTAGAGATTGCTGCTGGTGAAAAATGCCAAGGAAAGGGTGTACCGGTGCCATGAGGAGCCTCCAAACCTTCATCCTCCCCATGGAGGGATGGCATGGAGCAGGGCTACCATGGGAAATGGTGCCAGGCTGCAGAGCAGTACCTCGCTGCAGCCTCGGAGAAGGCAGACAAGTCATTCATGTCCTTTTCCAACACCCATGATCAGATAGAGCCCTGCAGAGCCAGAAACACATTATCCGCTCTCCTGGCACCCCGTGATGATGAGGAACCTGTCTTCTTCTCCCCCATTTGCACACCACCTCGTGTGAGGCTCATAAGTTGCTCTACTCAGTGCTAGTGCAATGCAAACCCTTCTGCTGTTCCCGCTTTATTTAACACAAATGCAAAGATAAGATAAACAGGACTCCAGGATCTACCACAGCAACCTTAATGCAGAGCCCAGAACATGCTGGAGGAAAAACAGTCACTCTCTGGCCCCCACAGCCAAATCCACCTTGTTACCCTTCCGTCTGCAGCTTGGCAGCTTTCCCTGTTTATCTTTGCTAAATGCTCTGCACTACTCTTTGCTAGAGAGCAGAAAATAGCATTCCCCTAACCCCTCCTTCTTTGCGTTTTAAAGCAGCATCCAATTTGCTCTGCTTTGCTCCAAACACAGAACGTTTTGTGCTGGCAAAGCACGTTGGCAGAACAAAAACATTCTTTTAAAAACTGTAGTAACATTAATCACATCCTAAAATAAATATGTAAACATATGTTGATGGACTATGAGCCTAGGACCTACTGGCAAGGTTCTACGGTGCTTGTTTTCGGTCTTTTCTGAAGATGGGTGGGAAAGGGAGGAGAAAAGAGATGACCCACAAAGTGGAGGCACATTGCTGATGCTGTTGGATAAATAACAACCCCATGAATTCTTCAGGCATAGACCTGGGGAAACTACAACAAAACTACCATGGTATGAGGCATTTGGAGCCCACACTCTGCTCTAGGTCTTCCCCAGGAGATCTCCTGCAAGAGCAGAGCTCCAGCTCTCCAAAGCATCCTCTGAGAAGATGTTCCCCTTGTGCACCAGCTTTCAAGCCTGCGGTGCTGGGAAATCTCCCCATGGCTTTGACTTATGAACCACTCAGTAATTAAAAACCCATAATGGGCTTAAATTGCAGCCAGGAAGAGAAAGATGAGAAGTTGGGATGAACGTGTCTTGTGGTGAGGACAGCTGGGTATGGCAACAGTCTGCCTTGGAGGGGCATGAAACCTGGAAGCTAAAGGAGAGTTTGGGGAAGATGCCAGGCGTCAGAGAGGGTGATCCTGCCCTCTGGGGATGGACAAGCTCTCAACTCAGCCTAGCCAAAGAAACTCCTTCTCTAGGAACAATTTTGCCAGGAACAGTTCCCATCCAGGAATCCAGAGGTGCTTTCTTTATTCCAGTAACTTCTATCTCTAACAGGCCGATGCAGGTTTTACAGGCCCAGCTGGAACCATGGCCATGGCAGCCCTGTGGCATATCCATCTCCCAGACAAGCCACGGGTCCTCCCCATGATGTTCATGGTAGTTCAAGGTCTTCCCTTGCATGACCCCAAGGACAGACCTGAGAAAAGCTCAGACCCTCCCTGGACAAGGGTGCAGGGTGTCCCTTTTCTGGTTCTGGATCCTCCACCAGCCGGTGAAGCAGGGAATCACCAATGCCCTTCCCCTGCTCCTCTGAGCATCATCCCTGGTCTCAAGCACCAATGAGACAGAAAACTTTTCAGTGATGTTCAGCCACAGCAGATCTGTGTGGTCTGCTCAGCGCCTCCGCGTCCTGGTCTGCACATGCAAAGAGACAGGATGCTACGCGAGCTGGAGCCAGCATCGCCTATGGGTGCCCGAGCCGCTTGCTGAGGGACATGAATGAGCTCTGGCATCCCCAAAATCTGCCTCAATCCATGCTGCTACTCAAGCTGCTTTGAAAAGCAACAGCAGCGAGAGCTATTCAGCTGCTTGGAGCGACACGCACCCAGCCTCTGTGCTCAGCGGGTCCGATCTGAAGAGCAGACAATATCCACAATGGGTGTGAAGATGCAGCAGGTGACAGAGGGATCCCATCTGTGGGGACCTGCTGAGGCATTAAAGGAAAAAAAACCCCTAGTTTCCAGCAGTCTCGGCGTCCTCCAAGAAACAAGCCTGGCTCTGAATGGGATGGTTTTGAAAGTCAGCACAGCAGCACCTTGGAATGAAAATATCAAGAGCATCTGTGTGACAATAGCAAAGTGCTGTTTGAAGGGGATCTTTTCTCATTTGCTTTACACTTGCAATATAATAGAGTACCACATGCCATCATTTAGTCATCCGCGGTGGAGAAAGGGGCCCATATGTTGCATGTTGTATGATAAAGGAGAATAAATAATCGCGGTCTCAGATGGAATCAGCTCTCTTCCAAGCACAGCTACACACAAATCTTTTAAGCCCTTTAAATTTTATTCTGAATGTAGGTGACGGGATCAGAAAACGATGGAGTTGGGATCAGATATTTAGCTTACACACTTTTTTTGCTCAGCCAGCGTTGGATTTCAGCCACGGCGCTCATGAACTGGCACCGCGTCTGCAGGAGGTGGATGGGCTGAATGATTAATGAAACCTTATTCAATGCAACTTCATTAACAGAGTTATGGCCTCTTTTGTAACCGGGACCATGAGCATCGACTACCTCCGTACGGTGAAGCAAAGCTGGTTTGCATCTCCCCAAAAGCACGGCGTTCCTCGGGGAGTTGTTGCCTTGCCACACACACAGTTGCGCAAGTGTGCAATGCAAACGTGCAAGTGCAATTCACTTTTCTCTGGCTTCCTAAAAATGCAGGAATAGGTGCAACACATCTCCCCAGCCACATGCCAAGACTTTCACTCTCCCCATCACTCTCTGAATTGCAGATACTTAAGAGCAGAAAAAGCCTCTTGGCACATTTACCACCCGTGGAGGTTTTTTTGCTCTGCAGTATAAAGGCTTTCCCTGTTTTGGAGAAAAGCACATCGTGTCTGGGACTGACAGGAGACTCCGGGGAAGCTCCAGTTTTTACTTTTTAAAGGAAATTTCCCCAGTGAAAGTCCTGGCCGTGGAGCAGAGCCCTGCGGGGTGTGACACAGGCACCTCGGTGCTGCCTTGTTTCATATCACTCCCTACCTCTCATGTCTCCATAACACAGGGCAGGATTTCCTGCTGCTGGCCGTGCCTCCGAGCAGAGCCCCGGGATGCGGCGGCTGTAACCAAAGCATCTCCCACACCTGGGGGACCGGCGCTGGGAATCCACGTGCTTCCCCCTCTGTCGCTTGGTAGGAATCAGAACTGCAGCAAGGGTTCGTTTGAAGTCTGACAGGCAAATCTGTGCTTCTTCTTTATGGACAAGATTTTAGAGACAGGGGCTGGCAGGTTGGACCCTGGGCTGGCAGGTTGGACCATCCCTCCCTTGAGTCAACTCTTCTCTCTCCAAGGGGCTCATCAAGGGCCATTACGTGGAGCCTCCATGGTAATTACAGCTTGAAAGACTCATTGCTTCCTTCACGCTTTGTAATTTGTAATCAGAAGCAAACTCTCGACTGATCAGCAGCCAGATACGGATGCAGGACCTCACCGGTGGGCGATGGCGCATCATTAGGGAGCGGGCTCTGCAGAGAATAGGGGAGCCACACTTCCCAAATCCTGCCTCAAAATCCAAAGGTAATTTGGTTCCAGGAAAGCTCTCTTTGCCTTTCCCAGGTGGTTTTCTTGAGCAGGCACCAATCTAGAAAGTCTCTGATGTAGTCAACTCTCGTCCTGACCTGTGATTTCCAATTATCTCTGAAGGCAGCTGCTCTGTTACCGTCTGTGTTTGGAGCCACAGCAGCATCGCTCGCAGGGACAAGGCGACTGCCAGGACCGCTGGGTTGCATCCTCTGAAATGCTCCCCATTATTCTTCAAAGAGGAAACTATCCAGCTGCAGAGCTGGGTATGGTTTTACCCATCAAACAGTGCGCCTTGCAGTGAAAAACTTAAACCAAGTGGAGAAACTCTTCTCAGCCCGTGGTGGGTTTCTTGCCCTGAAGTGCAATGGAGCAGGATCCTGAGGTTCTTCCCTCCAGTCCCCATGGACCAGCCCCATCCTGCTCCCCTTGCCTCTCCTGCATTGGCACAGGAGTCCCACTGCCCTGCAAGCCCTGGGGTTAATGTGATGGTGAACCCATCCATAAGATGGATAACCCCCTCGCCAAAACGTGCGCTTTCTCGGGGCTGCGACCTCAAGCAAAGCCTCTACATCTGAAGCACTCAGC